TTATTCTGAATTTTATAAATATTCAGTTGTTGATTATAAGTTGATTTATTATAATTAATCGACTACTAAATGAAATGGCTGAATCGATCTGAATTCAGCCATCGAATTCATACCGAATTTATTTCGAATTTTATAAGTATTTGATCATCAATTACAGATTGATTTTATTATGTCAATCGGTTGTTGATTGAAATTTTTGACTTGAATTTGGTTGCCGATTTTTTATTAGCATTCGACTGTCAATTTACTTTATCATTCAGTATAATATCAGCCAAATATTTAACGATCGAATTCAGATCGATTCAGCCATTTCATTCAGTGGTTGAATTTCTTATATTCGACTAGTGATTCTAATATTTTTCTCATTCTACTAAACTTTTGTAACATAAGGAACGTACTGTTTTAGCGGGTATTAACATCAAGTTCTGGTTTCAGATATTCAACTTCTTGTATAATACAAATATTTCGTAATATGTCATATAATAATTAAGAATAGCGTATTTTTCTTACAAAATCTCTAACTTTCTCAATAATCGCCGTCTTAAGTTGCATATCATGTTTTACTACAATATTCAAAATATAAGCTGCAAATCTATGATGCATAAATTTTCTATTTTCTACTAAAGAAAGAGCTGTTTATAGTTCACACTCTGTAATGATCATACTGACATTGTTGTCAGTAATAAGTTCACAGATCTTTTGTGTAATTTTAAACTCATTAAATAATATTAAAAGAAGATTTTTAGTATTTGTTCTATAATGATGGTCTGGATAATGAATTAAGTCTATAAGAAAATTGCGTATCTCCTACTTATTATCAATATAGTATAATATTACTCCAAGATATGCTTAGTTAGAGTTAAAGGTCTATATGTTATATGTAATCAAGACCTTAGAGTTAATGTTTTGAAGCAATTCTATAATTTTTTCACGTGTAGCTTCAAATTAGCTTAAAATTTTATTATATAATACTTGTTAGCAGAGAACGCTGTAGCATAGATCAAGAACACCAATCATTTATTTGAAGTATTTATTATCTACGATAGCAAAGAGTAACTGGCAGCATGTGATTAAATTAATAATCTTTTTAGTTATTTCATTTGTCTGCTTTGCGTCTTTTGATGTATATAGTTTAGCACTGAATCATAAAAGAGTTTGATGCTTCAAAGAAATATTTTTATAATGCTTGTTATTTAGATGGATCGCTAATGTCCCTGTTATATTTCCTGGTTTCCATCTTTGCTTGCAAATACTATATATTATCACAGTTACTTCATTCTTATTATTTTTTTTTTCAGAAAAAAACTCTTATACAGTAGAAGTACGTTGTTCAGTTTATTTAGAAATATTATGATCAGCATTATTATTCAAACTGATAGTAGAATTTGCATCTTCACTATTTGTAAGATGTTCATTTTTACTATCATCTAAATCCTTGCTATAATTGATATCTATATTATCAGCAATAAAGCTAAGATTCTCTTCAATAGGCTCTGTAGCAAGGTTTGTATTTCTGTTATTTTCTGTAATATTCAAGGTATCATCAGACATAGTGTTTGAATATTTGAATTCTAGACTAGGTGTATGAAATATTTATAATATTTAAAAGAAATATAAATTTTTTTTTCATTTACAGGTCAAGTCAAAATTCTATATTTGTTAATTTGACAACTGTCAAAAAGGGGTTTTACCTAATAGTAAATTGAGCAAGGGAAATTTTTTTTTTTAAATACAAGTCAAACTTCCATATTTGTTAATTTGACTACTGTCAGAAGGTGCTTCACAATGGTTTTGTATACTGTATAGTGATAGCAAATTAAAAAATCAGTGCTTACAATTTAAAAGCAATGATATTATATATTTTTTTTTGCAGAGAAAAAAACTTAAAACAAAAGAAAGGTTATATCATAAGTTCATAAATTAAAAAAAAAAGTATTCATAATTAAATAAAAAAGGATTGTTCTTATTTATTCATAAAAAAGTTTAATTCTTATATACGTATATGTAAAAAAAGGTTGATTTTTACTTTATTCATAATAAACTCATGATGATTATAAAAAAAGAAGACATAAAAAAAAGGAAGCTATGAGAAAAAAAGAAGCGTAAAAAAACTGTAAATTGATCATATAAAAAAGTTTTGAGTGTCTATTTATACAATAATTTTAACATTAATGAGATATTATAGTAATCTGTATTAGAGGTAATGTAACTAAGCATATACTTTTAAACAAACTGAGTTTTTTTTTTTGAATGCTAACTACCTGACTAGAGTTCTGCAAGTGCTAGTACCTGACACTTGCAGAACCTTACATCTAACCCATTGTTTTTAAAAAAAAGTACATATTACACTTGGCTAATATTAGAATATACATATATATATAAATTTATTTGGGTGCTTATCATGATTTAAAATTCCTTTTACATAATTAAATGCCTCATACTTATTCTTTTCAATTCTGATATTATAAGTTTCGCTATCATTCACTATTTTTTGTAAAATTTTTATAATATACAGAAGAAAGAATATCGTAATATTATATATTTAATCTTTTTTTTTATAAGTGGTAGTTTATTTTTTTATTTTATTTATAGTATAGGATTTTAGTTATTTATATAATAGTTACTACAGTGTATAAACCACTTTATTGTTGATATAAATAGTAGCTCTAGAGTATAGACTATTTTATATTAGTAGTATTACTCTGGAGTGATTTACTTCTTTTAGGTATATCTTAATAAGCTGAAGTGGAGTAATGTCTAAATCATGCTGATATGGAGTGGCTTATACTTCTAAGTTACTCCGAAATAGTATACACCAGTATTGTCATCGGACACGGACGCGGACATGGACTGGACCAGACCGGACGTCCACGTCCATGTCCAAAGATAATAATGTCCGGCAGATATTGTCCGTAGATTGACCAATCAAATGTTTGGACATTGAACAATGTCCGCGATAATCTTATTGGCTAAATCTATTTTTTTTTTTATCTTTTCTATTTAACACTCTAAAATCTACTATACTTGTTTCACAGGTAGAACTGTAAATATTTTTTAAAGGTATTGTGTTAGAAAACCTTTATTAGACATCCCCTTTTTCATTAGTTTTATAAAGTTTTTCATTGAGTTCATTTAGGTAATTACAAAAGTTTTCACATGTCAAACTTGTGGTGTAATATGCAACTTTTATTGTAGTATTCCAAATGTAAATCCAATATTAGTTTTCCAATAGTTTTTTTTATGATTACTTCTGGTGCAATTTAACAAATTACTTTCAGATAACATTCATAATACATACAATTATTCTAACTTTTTTCTCAATGTTATATTAATATTTTATCAAATATAACACATACAATACTTTTAAATCTATCAATATTACATACAGTATAGAACTTTAATGCAATCAAACAAATAACATCTGAAATCTTCAATGAAACCTCAAATAACGATAGTATTATTCATTCATCATAAATTTCGTCAAAGTATTCATCTGAATTCCATGCCCAGATCGGAAGATCTTCTGGTCTTGCGGGAATTAATGATCGCATCTTAATCCATCGTGGATCGTCCATTTTAACAATTTCGCGTGGTATAGGTGCAATATAAGAATGTCGACCTCCAGAATTTAGCTTTTCTACTCGAGTTCGTTTGACTACATTATCTACAAGATTGCGAATACGATTTCCCTAAATAAAGTATTAGTATAGTTATTATATTTTATTATTATATAGTGAATTAGATATTATAGTGTTACCTCAATGCTCATCCAAGGAAAAACTGGTATCAATAATTTTTTTCTGGATAATTCAGACACATTATCTTGTTCATTCGATGAGCTAACCATTTCCTCATCATCAGACACTTCTGGAGACATTGCTTCAAAGGAAAGTAACTTTTCGACTTCACTTTTAGAGTATAATAGTTGATCTTCCGGAATTTTATTTAACGCAGCTAAACGATTAGATGATTTCTAAATAAAAAAAAAAAACTTGTTTAATAAACATTAATAAATAATAATCATACAATTGATGCAAATTACATGTAGTATTTACCGTCTCACGTCGCCTACGACGTCGTGATCGTTGATCATTTAGAATTTTCGCAGCTGGAGTGGTATTTCGTTCTTTTTTTAAAGTTTTGAAATAGGCTTCAGCAATTTCAATAATCGTGGCCTCATTCCATGTTTCATTGGTTTCTACAAAATAATTTAAAGATATTAAAGATTAATAAAAGTTTTTTTAGTAATTCTTAAAATACATACGCGTTTCTTCAAACTGAACGTCAAATTCTTTGATAAAAAGATCAACGTAATTTTGTGTAATTCTTTTGTTTTTTCGATTTTTAGGACCAAATTCGAAGTTATATATGTAATTATTATTAAATATTGGAGGTTCGAAATCATCAAATCCATTGAAATAACGCATTTTGTCATGAAGTTTCGCAGTGAGTATAGGATTTGCTGTAGTAATAGCGTGTGGAGAATTAATTGTTGCATTTGAAATGTTAATACTGTTATGATTTTGCATAGAGGGTAATAGACTATTCATGGTAGTTTGAAGTGCTAAAGTTGATGTTGACAAATTTTCCAATATAGTTGTTGTAGTGATTAGTGTATCCTCAATACGTTGAATTTTAATTCCATGTTCATTATTAATACGTTGTATGGAGGTTACAAATTCACTCTGATTTTGTTCATAAATATCAAGTCGACGCTTCAAAGAATCAACAGAATTTTTGGTTGTTTCAAGTTGGCCTTTAACATCGGATGAAGTTAAAAGAGATTTTATTTCATTTACAGTTTGAGTTAAGCTAGTAATGCTTGCTGAAAGAGTATTTAAATTCGCTTTGTTTGTCATAAATAAGATCTCGTTAACACTGATTAAAAAATAAAATAATTTAAAATAAAAATATATAAAATATATACTATATTTGAAGCTGACGCAATAACCTAATATCAAATATTTAATCAGTATTGAAGTTTATGCACTACAAAAAATAAATACATACGATTATACTGAAAATTTTCGATTTAATGGTATGATGACGACAAATTTTTTTTTATTTCCAGATAATTTAATTCCATTACTTTTAACAAATCGACCAATTATTCTTTGAATCGGTAATATAGTTTCAAACCCTCGTTCAACAAATCGATCTTCCCATAACTCAGCATGATAACTTCCATCAGCGTTTGTAGATAATATGTTTTTTGATATGCTATCTCGTGATTTGACATAGAAATAGCTTTGTTTTTGTAAATCTCTTTTGTACCAATCAATGATAGCAAGATAATGGCTAGTCGGGGTTGTTGAACTCGGTAAAGAGATCCGATGTTCAAAAAAAAACTTAATTACTCCTGGCCAATTAATTCTTTTACCATCATCTAATTGCCACCGCGCAAATATATTGGAATTTAAATCAGAGCGTGAATAGAATGAACTGTATATCTCATCTCCAAGTTTGAGAGCTGTTGCTCGACGTGCCGTTGAAGAAACAAGAATTGAATAGTTTGATTTTGGTGTTTGATTTTCGTTATGAAAGCTATAATTCGGATAAATGTTTGAATAATAATGAACGAGAAATTCAATTATTTTAGTTGATAAGGTAATTTCATGGAAAGGGCCAATAAAATGACCAGGAAATTGTTCTGAGCCAGTCACAATACGATTAATTAATCCACCAGACATCGCACGAAAATCCAATGCCTCTTGAACTGTAAAATTATAATGTCCTAAAGTTCCAGTTTTCTCAATATTCATTTGAGCGATTAAATCTAAAGACGATAAAAAATCTTGGGGCAGGTAATGATAAGCTTTTGCCTTAATTTGTTGGATATAAACTTGATGGTTAAAATTTTCAAGCACTTCCAATTCCATATTACGATTTGAGTTAGAAAATAAACCAAGTTCTCTAAAGCAAATAAATTGAAATAAATAATATAATTGTTTAAATAAATAAATAAATAAATAAATAATAATAAATAAAAATTTTAAAAAAAAATAAAACTTACCCATTGTAACGTTCGTAAGTGAAACACCAGAATGAATACCATGGCCCATAATCAAGCATACATTCTCGTAAATGTTTATGTAAGTGCATATTAGGAGTACAAAAACGTTTACCATAAATTTGTTCAGAATATTGTAAAAATGCCATCATAGTTATATGACCAGCCTCAATTTCCGCCTCGGTTATAATTCTTTGACTCCATATTGATACAGCAGTAACAAATGCTTGCCAACATTGCCGATCAGCTTCATCAAGAAATTGGTGCAAAACATATGTCGAATAAATTAGAACCCACGTTTTCCATTGGTCAGCAGTAAGTGCATTGAATCCTGATGTAATTTTAAAGTTTATACGACCCATATCGACTGGTAAAGGTGTTGCATCAATTAGGCTTTGAATTTCATACAATTGTTTAATACCAATTTTTGGAAAATTATCATTCATCCACGCACGTTGCATTATACGTTTACTTGTACCTAAAAATATGTTGTGCATTGGATCAATTGTAGTAAATCTGGGTATATCGATATATGGCAATTCTAAGAGACAGGTCCATCGGATTCCATATTGTTGAAATATTTTTTTTCGTGCTGTTGAATCACTAATTTTATATTGTAGCGCTATTCGTCGATGTTCAGCATTAGTCAATGGTGGATCTTCTTGAATATAATTGGAATAATCAATTTTAGAAGATCCTGAAAAACACGGAAAAACCCTAGTACATTTGCTGCATGCATGCTTTGAAGAATGCGGGGCTAGTCCTGTAACCTATTAATGTTATATTAATTAACAAGAATTGATCTTGTTTTTTATTAATTATTTACAAGTTGTATACTTGTAATTAATATACAAAAAAAAGCAAGTTCAAATATAATCATCATTATACCTTACGCGCAGCCGGTATATCACATGCAATTTGAATTAATGCACAACGAAATATACGCCCAATCGGATATAAAGAAGTTTGAAATAATTGACCAACCCAAAGTTGCTTTAATTCATTGACTATAGGCTGGAGATAATTTTGCAATTGACTTGTATCTGGTTCTTTTGGACCAGGTATAATTCAAGCAAGAATAAGATTTTCACTTCTATATCTAATATATCTTGGAAAATTGAAAATCGTCATATATATTGGTGCGCAGCTTCTTTTAACTCGGCTATATGGTGTATACCAGTCAAAATTAAGAGCTAGCCCAATTCGAACCTCAGCTTTATCCCCTACGAAAAATGGCTGTCCTTGTTCGTCTAAAAATTCTTGCCAAACTTTTCCGTCATAGATGTCACCTAATACGCCCTTCTCAATTTGTCGCTTAAATGGAGAATCCATTAGTCTTTCATTCGATTTATCTGCTAATATTGACGCAATTCTTGCGGTAATAGATTGATAAGGGTAAATCGTTTTAGGCTAAGTTAAAAGTAAATATTATGTTAACTTTTTTTTTTAATTATTATAAAGTATTGAGATAAAATAACTTAACTTTATATTTAAGTTTTCCACCTGATCCTCTAATGACCTTTGTTAAAACTTTTTGACACACAAGACATTTTGTGTGCTCCGACGTTTTTAAATGCAATTCAGTAGGTAAATAAATAGAATGACAATATGAACACACTATATATTTAAGAATTGTGTTGGGATGTGCGATAATTTTTTCAACGAAATATTGACTTTTTGGAAATTTTTGAAACTGAAATTCATCGATAAAAGTTAATACGTGACTAAAAAAAATGATTAAAGTCATAATTCCAGTTTTGGTGATGGTGAATGCTTGTTGAAATAAAAATAACCATAGAATAACCCATTGTATTACATAATTTTCTTTTAAAAGTGGCGGATTATATGAGAGCCGTACTGGATTATACGATGGTGCTAGAAAGATATCTGATATCTTCAAATCAACGTTTAATGATGATGAAAATGGTGTAATTTTTTCATAATCTTCATCATCAGTCTCCTCATTGATATCGATTTCTTCATATTCGTCTTGATCAGAATTATCATTTTTGTCACTTTGATTAGGATTACTATATTGCTCACTTTGATCAACATCGCTTTGACAAGAAGTACTATCCTGATCGCTTTGGTCAAAATCGTCTGGCAAACAATCTAACCGCATTATCGGTAAATTTTTTGGTTTATAAAATGAAATCTTGTTTGGTGTCAGCTATTTTATTAATATTAATTAGATAAAAATTTTAAATGTTTGAGTGCCACAAAGGGAAAACATATCTTATAGGATTTGCAAGTTTTTCCTTTGCGGCACTCATTTCAAAGCAAAATAATAGAACTTAATTTGTACTTTGCCACGCCCTTGAAATGATACAGAGTTTTCTGTATATGAAGACAACTCTGCTATATTTGTACTGTTATCAAAATCATAATTTATCCCATTTTCGTCATCAAGGTCATAATTTATCCCATTTTCATTATTAGAGTCATAATTTATCTCATTTTCGTCGTCAAAGTCATGATTTATCCTATTTTCGTCATCAAAGTTATAACTTGTCTCATTTTCGTCACTTGGTCTATCAAAAGTTTCAAGTTCTTGACTTAATAAATTAGTTAAAGTAGGTTGAGATAAAGAATTTATTGAGACGGAAGTTATATGTTGGTAATTATTCCTTTGATGTTGCCGCCAAGTTCTCCACGATAATTGTTTGCCGTTTATTAGTCGGCACTTTGAACACAAACACTTAGGCATTTATTCGTAAACCTTATGAAAAAAAAGATGATAGAATATAGATCAAGTAAAGTTTAAAAACTTTATATAAATAACTTTTCAGAAGTTTTTTAGAGGTTTTTTAGAGGTTTTTTATTAGTAGTCTAAATTTTTTCCATTCGTTTTTTAAAAATTTACATATTTTGATTTAATGATAAGTACAAAAGTTTTTCAATAATATTACTATGGTTTTTTTAATTGCAGTTACTGTTGAAAAACTTTAAGAATAACCTTTTATTTATTATAAAGGTTTTTTAATATAATACATTTAAAAAAGATTTACAGTTCTACCTGTGTTTAATATCAACTCCACTCTAAAACTAATCTCTAACCTTAATTAACCCTTTAATCTGATTTCATGATCAGTAACAATGATTAAGTGTCGCCGCTAGTGCCGTCACAGGAGTTATTGAAGCTCAATAGAAATTCGTCAGTGCTGCTAGGTGGTTGTGATTTTGTCATGGCTCAGTGTCGTTGTTGGTTGTGATTTCACTATGGATTTCCAGTGTCATTGTTGGCTGTTGCGTAGGTGGTTATGATTTCATCATGGTTCTCAGTATCGTTAGTAGTACTGTTGGTGGTTTGGCCTTCGCCGCATTATATATATATTTTTGGGAAATCTATTTTCACACGGGTTAAAGTCACCCGATATATCGATATATATGATTTTATATTATAAAGTATAATAAAACTTATATATCGGGTGACTTTAACCTGGGTGAAAATAATATTTCCCTATATTTTTATTAAGCACTAATCTAGTTTTTTTTTTTTTTTTTTTAGCTTTCCTTCTATCGCTAGTTGGTTTCGACGTATATTGGTGACTTTTTTCATTTTCTTTGGTGCTGTCGTTTCAGTTTGTTGTTGGTTGTGATTTCGCTGACGATTTCAGTTAGTATCATTGATGGTTGTTGCATCGGTAGTCGTGATTTCACCGTATGGTCATTGCGTTAGTGATCATGATTTCGCTGTGATTCTCAGTATCGTTAGTAGTATCGTTGGTGGTTTGGCTTTCACCACTTATATATATATATATGCATATATACAGTATATATATATATATTTTTATCAATTACTAATCTAGTTTTTTTTTTAGCTTTCCTTCCTTGTGGTGTCTTCTAAATCGCTTTGGAGTTTTGTATGCTGGTGCATTTTTTTTTCGCTCTAGCTATCCATCGTTTGTTGGTGTCAACGTATATTGGTGACATTTTCATTTTCTTTGGTGCTGTTGTTTCATTTCATTATTACTACCTTCATGATGCTTTTTAACGTTGCAATAATATCATTTATACCATAACGCCCAGGGGTGTTATTTCGAGTTTTGGCCCGAATTAAGCTTAATTTAGGCCGAAATTCGAAATTACACCCCTGGGCGTTATTTCGCACTTATACGGTAGTATTCTGCACGGACCAGATCGGGCGGATATTTTTTATAAATCCGGATCCGAACTGAAAATTCAATTCAGATTCAAAGCTAGATCCGGATCCGAATCTAATAGATTCGGATCCGAATCTAACAGACCTAAACCAAGTTAAAATAAAACAAAAAACTGCTAAAATTTAAAATTAAGCAAATTGACTTACAAATTTATATAATATATGCTTTTAACTACACTATGTAATACATTTAATGTTATTTAAAGTTATTTATATGGATTTAACTTTCAAGTGCTTCTCACCACGATTTTAAACACATTGCCATTCAAACTGTTTTTTCAGCTAATTTATTTCGTTTATCTGTTATCATATCTCCACTAACACTGAATATTTGTTTGCTTGGAATGCTTGTAGCTGGTATAGCAAGACAATTCCTAGCAAATTTTGCAAGATTAGAATAACAAGCTTCATTCACTCGCCACCATTCTAGAACATCTATTTGTGGATCTGCACGTGGCATCATAGAGTATGTATCTAGTTCACTTTGCCGTTCAACATGTGCTCTTTTATAGATTCGTGATATTATATTTGTTGCAAATGGTTCAGCAATTGAATCTTCTATATCTTGACTGGAAACAGATATGTATTGGCTTTCATACTTATCTCTAATTCTATAAATTAATATATATAAAATAAATTAATATATTTTTCTTCTTTTTGTATAAATAATAATAAAAAAAAAACTGTATAATTTATAGGTTTTCTCTTACTGCTACTAACATTTTTTTAATTTGAGAAATAAGTATTAACGACCATCCAAGCTCTTCAAAATAGTTAAATTTAAGTCTTGGGTCTAGTACTATCGCTGCAAGATGAAATATATTTGTCTTATGACAATAATTCAAAAGTTTAGAAGTTGCGGCTTCACATCCTTGCATGAGACATTGCGGTATATTGTTCATTTGCTGGGTTTCTTTAAGCATTTTAAGTAACATATGATATAAAGGAACTGATATCGATAATGTTGGATAATTAGAAGATGACATAATAACTGTTGCTAAAAATTATAATTTATTGATAGTTTAATAAAATTTTAAATTAATACAATATATAATTAGTATAATTATTAAACTAACCCTCTTTAAATGGTTGCAAAACTTTAATAAAAAGTTTAATTTTTTTTCAATCATTATCATTAAGAATATATTGTTGTAAGTCTACTTCCGCCAATGCCATAGAATCTAGTGCTATTTGTAATACAATTGCTCTTTCACACATATCAAATGTAGAGTTCCACCTGGTGGCAATGTCAAGGATTGGCTTTAATAGACTTATTTTATGTATTTGACATGTGATCTTTAATTTTTCACGATGGTTAGATGATCCTCTAATACCTCTAATCAATGAACGTAGCTGAACATTATACAATAATTTTTTTTTTAAAAAAATTATATAATAAATGTAAATATATATATAATATATTGAATTTTATATAATAATAGGATTACAGTAAATAAACCTTTTCTAATTCACATCCAATATTATTTAACATTGTTTGTATAGCAAGATTTAAAATGTGACCAAAGCATTATATAGATTGTTGGGTACTATCGAATTGAACACCAGATTGTGATAATGAATTTGAAAATTCTTCTAAAAACTTATTTTAGATGATGCATTATCACGCGTAATAGCCACTAATTTTGTAATAATATCCATTGTTGTAAGACATTCATGCATTGCATCTGAAATTGCGATTTCTGTATGTGGCCCACTCATATGAATAAAATCAAGTAAAATATGTTTTAATTTCCATGAATCATTTATATAATGAATAGTAACTGCCATAAAGGACTTGTCATTAGTATCAGTTGTCTATATGTCAGTTGTTAATGCAACACCACCAGGAATTTTTTGTAATTTTTCACATAATCGCATACGTTCTTTCTCAAAATCAAACACAATATATCATTTGATTAGATCAGCTGAAGGTGCT